AAGGTGACTGATTTAATGAACCCAGATATTAGAATTTGGGATGAAACTAAACTGTTGACCTTGTTCATTAGACCCATATTACAAAAAATTGTGGAGATAGATATCCCTTTCAACCCTTGGCCTGATAAAATAGTTTGGATGGGCAGTGAATGGCAAGTTTTTTGTAAAATCTGCCTATTTTATTGCAAAAAAGCTCTATGATATAGATCCCCACCTCCGGAATAGCTCCCCCAATGATAAGACCTTATGGAAAGAGCTTTGGGGTCTTCAAATTGAGCCAAAAATCAAACATTTTCTTTGGGGATGTTGTGTGAATGGCATAATTGTCAAAGAAAACCTTAGGAAAAGAGGATTATGTGATTCTGATTGTTGTGACTGGTGCGGAAAAGATGTTGAATCCATCCTTCATGCCCTTCTTTTATGTGACAAAGCTAGGTGCATTTGGTTAGCATCGGGGTTAGGAATAAACCCTGAGGCGGCTAGAAACTTCACCTCTTTCAAGGATTGGTTAACATTCATCTTTCTTGAGTTGAAGAATTGTCGTTTTGATTTACTCCCTAATATTATGTGTTGTTTGTGGGAATTGTGGAAAGACAGGAATTTATATTGTTTAGAAAAATATAGTGTGAATCCTCTTGCTGTTTTGCATAAATTGAACAGGTCAATTCAGGAGAGATCTCTTCACTGGTGGAGGAAATTGGAAGGCTGTTCCAATGAACCTTGAGTGGTTAACAACTTTTTGTGGGCTCCCCCTGAAGAAGACTGTTTGAAGGTAAACTGTGATGCCGGCTTCATAAATTCTGAGAAGGCGTCCTATGGCTTTATTCTAGGGGATCACATGGGTGTGTGTTGGGGGGCTGGATATGGTCCTCAGAAAGCCTTTTCTCCTTTAGTAGCTGGAGCAAAGAAGTAAGGGAGGCTGTTCTTTTTGCAGTTCAGAACAACCTCTCCAATGTTTCTTTTGAATCGGACAATATTAATCTTATCAATGCTCTTAATACAAATGTTGATGAGGAGTCCCTGATATTTTGTTCTTATGCCAATACATCAATTCTTTTGCTTCCAGGAGAAATTTCAAGTTCAGTTGGTGCTCAAGGTTCTCAAATTCTGCAGCTCATGAGGCAGCCAAGCTTGGATTTGATAGTTCTTTTTCTTCTTGTAATGCTGTATCCATCTCACTGTCTGATCCCATCAGGCAGGAACTCTGTTCTTAGTTTGTTTGTCTTGCTGTTTCTGTTTTAATAAAATTATGTTCTTACCAAAAAAAAAAAAATAATAAGAGACTGTTGGCGTCTTCAATATTAGATAGGATCCTGATACTGCTATATTACTTACAATTTTACGTTCCTTAGCCTATAATAGCTCGGTAAGTAAGGAAGGAATTAAACGTTGCTTTGTTTTCTATTATTTGTTGGTGTATTTGGACTACAAGGATTGCTGCTATCTTTGATGATTTACATCTTGATTCCTCTTCGGTGCTTATTCATGTACATGTCCACAAGATCTTACAAGAACTGAGGTTGGTAAGCTTCCAAAAGATCCAGCCTGTGAATCTTCATCAAGCTAATCCAGTTTACTCCATCTGTAGCAGTACTCTTCACGGTCATTTTGCCATTGTTTGGATGGATGGTAGCTTTTTGAATGGTGTGCGTGCTGGATATGGAATTTTAACCATAGATTCAAATGGGTCTTTTATTGCAGCTCAAGCAGCAGTTGATATTCCAAGATTTGCAATATTTTTCTGAAGCTTATGCCATCTTATTACTGGGTATCCAATTAGCAAAAAGGGCAGGAGTGAGATCTATTACTTTGAAGTGTGACAATAAAACTCTCATCTCTTAATTACAGTTGAAGAATCCAGAAAAGCATTCAGATATTTGGTTTTTGTATGAAGACATTTTGCATGAAGCTGCTGAGTTTGACAATATCAATTGGGTCTATGTTAATCGTTCAAGCAATAGTGGTGCTCAGGTTTTGGCTAGTCCAAAAGCCCAATTAGGTCTTTGGGTTCAACATCCCCAGCCTGGTTTTCTCTTTTTGATTGTTTAAGTCAGCTTTTATCCTTTGATGAATTCTAATCTTGGCTCTGAATTATTAATGAAATGATTTTCTGTTTTACCAAAAAAAAAGCGGATTGAATTTGAATTGAATCTGGGTTTTCAGATACCGTGGATTAGGGGTGTAGTTTGGACCAGATGGACGAGGTCGAATCCAATCCGATGAATATTTTGGACCATATTCAATGTAGTGATGGGTCTAATGGCTTTAGCATTTCAATATTTTAATGTGGAATTGGGATCTGCTCCTCACAGACTGCACCTTGTATCCATCTCACAGCCCCATTCCACCATATATTGAGAACATCTCTCCATGAATAACAATATAAAGTACAAGAGATGTTTCCGATGTAAGGCTGCTATGCATTGTGAGGTTGCTGTGAGGAGTGTTCCATGAGGAGCAGATCTAGACTCAATTGACAAAGAGAAAGGGGGTTATAGGTTTCTATCCACAAGATATTACAGTTGTGCATTGAGAATATTTTCCTTGTCATTCATGGAGAGATGTTCCCAATGTATGGTGGTTGTGCTATTGGATAGGGTTGTGGAAGCAACTTGTGGGTAGTAGATCCTACGCCTGAAGAGAATAGCGATTATGTAGTCTGAACATTTTTGCCCTTCATTGCATGGATTTAATTATGCATAGAAATTGGCTTCAGTGCTCACAAGACCTTGCTTATACAGTTTGAACAGTCCCTTGCAACCTTGCATTGGGACTATCTCCCCATAAAAAAGCATACAAGTATGGAGATATTGATTGTAAAAGGCCATGAAAACGGTGTGAGCACTGAAGCCGATCTCTTATGCATAAGCCTTCTCTCTTGACTTTGTTCTCTCTCTCTCTCTCTCTCTTTTCACCATACCTTTTTTTTCTGTTTTTTTATTTTATAAAAGCTCCTGTTTAGAAGGAAATAACAATATATTTTATTTTAGGGTAATTTGCTAAAGCCTCACCCGAAGTTTAGTAATTGCAATCACCTCCCCTCAACATTTTGATACAGTTGCAAGTAGACTCCATATGCTATAATCTTCTAAAAAAACCATGAAAATGTCCAAAATACTCATACAATTACTATTGAGGCTTGGTTTTTATTGAAGAAATACAAACTTTATGAACAACAAAAACAAAGAGAATTTAAAGTTGTAGTTTTACCTTTGAGTGATTGAAGGTACAATTGCTCTGAAGCCAATTTCTAATTATGAAGATTGAAAGTTGTAGTTGTAGTCTATCTCTAATTATGAAGATTGAAAATGTAATTTCAATTAATGCTTTCCACCTCATTTAATCCCCTCTCATTAACTCTTATATTTGATGTATTAACTCCATTCTCTCTTATTAAATTCTATATTTACGTTATTTTTTCACTAATAAATGCTACTAATTAGATCTGTCCAATACTTTTAACAATATAAACCTATATATTTTAAAACTTACTCAAAAAACAAAACCATTCTTTACCCAAGTGATAGACTAAGCAATTCAACAATCCAAATCAAATTGGTCAACCCATGAAATCATAGTTATATAATAAAATTTTTAAATAATATTCAAAATTACAAAAATGTGGAAAAAATAGACAGATTTATGATATTTTTATTAATTAAATTAAAAAAATAAGTTAATAAAGAAGAATTATTTTTATTGATGACGAAAATAAAATACATAATCTAAAATTAACAAAAAATGAGATTATTTTCCTATTTGGCGAAGATCAATAGTTAAACTTTTGGATCGAATCTATCAACCTTTAATGTCATAATTAAATAATAAAAATTAATAAAATATAAAAAAAACACAAAAATACATAATTTTACAAAATAAAACATATTTATCATATTAAACAAAAAAATGTATACATAACAATATTATTTTTACACACATAAAAATAGAAAAATTGAGCACATCTATAACTCCATATTTACACTACTATTAAAAATATAAATAAGATTGTGGAACTCTCTTTTAACTAAAATACCCATTTTATGAATTTAATCCCTATTTAATTGTGAAGCTTAAAATGTAATTTGAATTACAATTTTCACCTCATTCAATTCCCTCTTTAAATCTTACATTTTTTTTTCATAAATGAACAAAAAAAAAATACTAAGAGGACAAAACATTGCATAAAAAATCCACCCAAGTAGGTAGGCTATCAATGATACTCAATATGAGGTTCTTACATAATCATATTTGGATTTCGCAATATGCATCCGATCAATAGTATAAAACAAAAAAATATATAAATTTTGTAGAAAATTTTGGATACATTATTACTATCATTATCATCTAAAATTTCCATGTGCAAAACATGTGCATATTTACTAGTATATATGAAATATATATTCTAATAGTATATATGGAGAAATATATTACAATTAATATAACGGAATGCATAGAAATCATATAAATTTATTGATAATGTATCAAATACATTGCATATGTTCCCTCAGGCCTCAATGTCATTGATGTATGGAAAATCAAGGTAATGATTTTATCCATTATTTCCCTTAGGCCTAGTTTGATTGCAATGCAGTTTCCTTTGAACTGGTGCAAAATCATGGAACTGCAAATGAGTTAAATGCAAATTCTGATTTATTTTTGTTTTAAATTTTACTTTATTTTGTTTGTTTACATTGTAAATGAAGTAAAAGAAAACTAAAAGCAAAGTAAAGTAACACCCAAAGCATAAGCAAATGGGAATTTACACTTTCCTAATTTGTACTCTCATATATTTATATTAGTGCAAATAAAATTGCAATGCAAACATAGGGACCCTTAGGAAATAAAATGAATTTCATTGTCCTTTTCTCTTTAGAACAAGAAGAAAACTTGATCTTGCTTTATATATTAACATATCTGAAAAAGAGCATATATGAAGATTTTTCAAACAATAGCTCTGAATTTATGGGGAAAGAAGGAAGAAAGCAATACAAATGGTGAGATAACTCAAATCACATAGGTAAGGATCTTAATTAGCTGGTGGAAATCCACTGGTTTCAACAGCAAGCAACATCAAATGACGAACTTTTTGTAATGGCAGGAGAATGTATGTAGAAGACACAATCAACCAATTGAAGATCATTGGCAAATACAGCTTTATCTAGGGCACCAGAACTAGATATTAGCTTCATGCACTCCAGTGAGTCCATTCTGCTGATAATTAATTTATCAGAGAAATGTCTTTTGGTTTATTAAAACGACAGCCATGTATACCTGCTGTTGCACATTGATCCCTACTTTGACTTGTACCTTTTTTTTTCCATCAGTATCCTTGCTTCGAATCATTAGCATGAACAAGACCTGATGCTCAAAATCCATTTACCAATACTTGCTTCAATGTGATCAAATGGTCCTGACCCACTGTATTGCTTTAATATGAGATACAGTGCTGGAAGGATTTGTACTACTAGAAGTCAGGATCAGTCTGTATTTCATTGGCAATTTCTTTGGTCAATCTGTCAGCGCGCTCATCCTGTCCACCTGCAAATGTATAGACCCTAAATGCCATCTGAAAAGCCTTCCAGAGCATCATAGCATATGTCTGGGTTCGTTTTTCATTCTTCTGATCTGTTGCTGTTGCTTTGGCTTCCCTTTTCTCCTAAAACAACAGGAAAATGCCCAACAAAAAGGTTAAAGAATTGTTCTTAATAATAAAATCAAATAGGCATTTCAGGCAAAATGTCCTCAAGTTACATACCTTAAGTGCCAATTCCATGCAGTTTGAAGAAACATCCACCATCATTTCCTTGATCCGCACAAGGATTTCAAAGTCAAAGGTGATATTTTGATTCTGGAATCTCTTAGATTCCTCATCTTTGGTTCGTTCCACTGCATCCAATTCCCCCTTGATCTGTATTTATGCCTTTGATTAATGACAAAAAAATTGGTAGAGGTGAAGGTAATGCTATATATATACAAGTGTAAAGTGTTTTCCACAATTAGATTATAGTTACCTTGCTGAAGTAGGCCTCAATCTTGTCAATCAGCTTGCCTAAAGGAGACACAATCTTCCAGCTTTCTAAATTAGTAACGATTGCATCCAGCTTTGAATGCAGTGCTGCTGCTATCCTTATTGTCTCCAGTTTCTTTGAAGGAAAACCTTCAAACCTCGCCAATACCTGCACTTTGAAGAATTGAAGATTGTCAACTAAAAGAATATAGGTTAAAGATGATGAAATGCATCAAAACAACAAGCTAGTGTTGGAAGTGACTTGGCTCTCATCAGTTAGATTTTCCAGGTGATGTTCGACATATTTGTGGAATTTTTGCAATTCAGCCATATCCTTTGTTTTGAACGAATTGATGGCTCCTTTTATCTCCGTGATTGCTTTTGCATACTTCTCAACATCTTCTTCAATTTGTTGGAAATAGGATGATCTAAGACTCCAAAGAAGAATTTAAATGAGAAAAGGGGACAAAAAGAAAAAAAAAGAGCATAGTTGTTTTACTCAACTGTCTAAATTCTTAACCACTCAAAATGCATTTTATAATAATTAATTGGTTTAGACTTCAGACCTCTTTGTCATCTCTGCAAGTGCATCGGCCATTCCTTGTTTACCACCATTAGAGCTCCCACCCTGACTCTTTTTTCCTTGAGTCGACTTCGTTTGTAGAGTTTCTCCTTCCACTTTTCCCTTTAGTACACGATACAATTGACCCATGTGGCTTGATCTCTTCAACTTCGTATTTTTCTTTGGACGCAAGCAGGCTTTTCCCCCTCCACCTGGAGGAGGTGGTGGAGGACCTCCTCCCTTTCCCAAAGGCATGGGTGGTGGAGGAGCTGCTCCATTTGGTAGAGGTATGGATGGTGGAGGTGGGGTAGTTGTCTTTTGGTCCAGCATGGGTGGTGGGGCTGGGGCTGGGGCGGCTGCATTTGAGGGTAGTGTAGGTGGTGGTGGTGGTGGCGGTGAAGGCGATGCTGCTACTGTAGGCGGCGGTGGTGGTGGCAGCGATGCTGCTGCTGTAGGCGGTAGTGGCAGTGGCGGTGATGCTGCTACTGTAGGCAGTGGTGGTGGCGGCAATGCTGTTACTGTAGGTTGTGGTGGCGGTGGCAATGCTTTTACTGTAGGCGGTGGTGGTGGTGGCAATGCTGTTACTGTAGGTGCTGGTGGCGGTGGCAATGCTGTTACTGTAGGTGGTGGTGGTGGCAGTAATGTTGTTACTGTAGGTGCTGGTGGCACTGGCATTGCTGTTACTGTAGGTGGTGGGGGCAATGATGTTACTGGCAAAGATGTTATTGTAGGTGGTGGTGGCACTGGCATTGCTGTTACCGTAGATGGTGGTGGTGGCAATGCTGTTACTGGCAAAGATGTTACTGTAGGTGGTGGTGGCACTGGCATTGCTGTTACTGTAGGTGGTGGTGGCAATGCTGTTACTGGCAATGCTACCATTGTAGGGGGTGGTGGCACTGGCATTGCTGTTACTGTAGGTGGTGGTGGTGGTGGAAATGCTGTTACTGTAGGTGGTGGTGGTGGTGGCAATGCTGTTACTGTAGGTGGTGGTGGTGGTGGCAATGCTGTTACTGTAGGTGGTGGTGGTGGTGGCAATGCTACCATTGTAGGTGGTAGTGGTGGTGGAAATGCTGTTACTGTAGGTGGTGGTGGTGGTGGCAATGCTACCATTGTAGGTGGTGGTGGTGGTGGAAATGCTGTTACTGTATGTGGTTGTGATAATGATAGTGATATATTCGGAAGAGATAGAGGTGTAGGTAGTGCATATGCCACTGCCTTTTGCTGCAAAGTTGGTTGGAGGGGTGGTGATGGTTGTGGAAGTAGTGTTGTCATTGCATGTGGTGGTGGTAGTGATACATTTGGAAGGGATGCTGGTGGTAGAGGTAGTGCTTGTGCTATTGCCTTTTGCTGCATTGTGGGTTGGGGTGTTGTTGACTGTATCGTATGTTCACTTGCAGCAAGGATAGGTGCTAGCATAGGAAGGGCACTCATTATGTTACTTCCAGCCCTACTTTGACTTGAATCGGACTTGAGGAGATTTAATGTTTCATTTGCATCTCTGCTATCTTTGTTTTCTTCCTTGGTTTCTGGTACTGGCAGTTCTTGGGAATTTGTCTTTGATTCTTGGGTTTTAAGCTTTGATTCATCATATTTTTTGCTACTTCGAGTCTCATAGATGATATCTTGGGTTGGTAAATTAGGGAACATATGAAAGGAGAGGCGCTTTATATCAATGGGTTTCAGTTTCGCCACATCCTGAAGCCTTAGAGGCAGGAGAAGGGGTGGTGAATATGAAAAATCTGCAAATTTTTCAATTTCTCTACAACTCTGTATCAGCTCTGGAAGAACTGAAGTTGGGGTGACTGGAGAGAAGCCAAGTTCTTTAGTGAATGAATAGGAGTACCTTAATATATCTTCAAAAGAAGAATCTTGAGAATTCTTATTATCCTCTGAATCATCTTCTTCATCCTCATCCATGACGTCAAATATTTCTTTTGCTACCATAACCATATAATCAAGCTTCTCCATCACCTTTGCACCTTCAACACAATCAATTACCAACTTTAACAAAAGAGCTCATACAAAACTAAAATTTATAGCTACCATAACAGAGAGAAATTAAGTTAACACTTAACAGACCTAATTGCTCTGAACTGATGTTCAAGACATCATCTTTCTCAGAGTTGCATTCGGCTTCGGACAACCATTGGTGATTATCGACCCATGAATCACCAAGAGATTTCAGGGAACCATAGAAGTACACCAACGCCTATGCAAACAATCTTATATTTATCAATATATAGATACCAGGAAATCATTTACTAAACTATTTCAAACACAGTTTTGATTTGAGGTAACAAACAACAAACCTGATCCAGGGTCATTTCATTAGCATCCGGCACTGTAGTACTAATTACGACCTTGGGATACAGGTTGTGGAGGTCCTCTACGGTTCGCACCAACAACTGCAAGAAAATGAAAATTGAATAAATGAAGAAATTCAGTGGTGCCACTTCCTATGATCAGATTCTCAGAAAAGGAAATTGAAGATATATACCTCAACTATGGGACCACTTCCATTGCATGGAGGAAGATCAATAATGTCCCTAAAGCATAATATCTTCTTCCGGAGCTCCACCATTAATGGGAGGCTCCATGGCCATGCAAAGGAAGGATCCACTTCCTTATTCACCACCTCCTCCTCCTGATTCTTGGCTACATTGTTGTCTCTATTAATGGTAGCCTGCACAAAGTTTGAAATATGAATTGCTTATTGGAGCTATAATTCTTTGTACCATACAAGAGAAAAGAAAAATGTAAAACCCAAACCACACAACCAATAATCAAGAACCCTGAAATTGGTAATTCACCTGCTTGCAGCAGGTCACAATACAGCTGTGACCCGCCCTTCGTAAAGGAGAATGCCTCCATTTTCGTCGCTTTACGGTGTGGCGAATCTTTTTTTTGCACCATAGCAGAGCTCCAACGAAGGTCATCCCGAGCAGCCACTGACCTTCACGAAGGCCATAGGCATATCATCCTCTCAGTTTCAGAACATTTAAACATTGTCAAATTGGTCAACAGAAAAACATCAGCATCACTCACATTGCTCCTTCTTCAAAACAAGAAAACAGATAACAAAATTCTGATTACCATGGTATAAGAGTTGGGGTTGGATTAATATTTAGGATTATTGGAAGGAGTAAAAATACAAATACATAGAGTGCAAAACTTTATATTTTGTATGTATTTGCACTAAAAATAATTTGTATTTATACTCTTACCAAACTGAGCCTTAAAAGTTAATCCAAAAAATGCAAAGATATATTCAGCTATATATTTCTGCAGGCATGAATGTCGAATGGCCCTTCCAAATAGAATTCTTAAGTTCAATCGGGCCATGCATGTTCTAATATCTTGGACAATAATGCATCGTCGAGTTGGTTTAACCTTTACGTATTACACCTCCAATCTCCATTAACATAAACAGATATGCAGGAAAGAAGAAATTAAAATGGTCACATATATAGAAGAGATCATGCTACCTTTATAACATCCAACTTATGATGGGATAGCAACGGTGCCGAATTGTAGTCCACGTACACCATCTCTAACCCCTGAAACTATCTTTGTGGAGATCGGTAGGACACAGGGATGGCCAAGTTACAAAGCTAAAAGCTTGGTACCTAGCCCCATTCCTGGTTAGCATCCACGCTAATGAAATTGGCCAAACAGAAGAAAACCCTGAAATGACTACCTGAAGCGCACTGAATAGCGCTTCCAATTGGAAATTTCCAATTGAGAAAGAAGAGAGAATTGAATGAAAGAAAGAAAAAGAAAAAGAAAAAGAAAAAGATAGAAAGAGGTTGTTTGCAAAGAAGACAGACACAGACTTTTTTTGGGAGGCCCCACGGAGAGCCCCTAGCTGTTGCCGAGGCACAGGAGCCCTCCACGCTTAGCTTAATTAGCTTAGTTGGTTTTGCTTTATTATGATCCAGCCAAAACGGCTAACGAATTAATACCCCCTCCTCCAATATAGGATGATTGATGTGTTGGAGATTTTTCAAAGGTGGACACTTCTCCAGAACGTTGAGCAAAAACAGGCGGGATACACGGCAGAGTATTTACATTGGATGCATGATCTTCATCTTCAACCCCCCCTCCCCCTTCCAATTATCTATATTATGCCATTTACGTGGGTGGGGGCACTGGGGCTGGGAAGGGAGCTAGTGTGAAACCCACTGGTAGCTTGCGGGTTTGATTTCACGCTTTCAAACGGGAGGGGATGCCAAGTCACATCTTGACCATTGAGCGTTTATTGAATAAATTCTTTTATATAGGCGCCACTTCAGCATTTTTTTAGACTCATAGGTATAGAGATTTGAAAAAGTAGGCCTTGATTTATGTGCATGCCTATTGTTGGAGAAAGTTTCACTTTAACGCTTCCTCCAACGGGTAGGCATTTTATTCACTGTTTTGCTTATCTGGTGCCTAATGATGCCTAATTGTCAATAAATGAGTTTATTATTATTTTTCTTGATTTTGCAAACAAATCAAGTACAAACCTTTAGTGAATAAACGCCCATAGTTCCAAAATGAAACTTCTTGAAACGGGAGAGGCGCACAGAAACCGATACACACAAATGCAATTAATGAGGCATTTGTTGATGGGGCACCTATGTGGCACTGTTAATAAACGTAAACGAAACCAAACATATATTGAGTCATTGGCTACTTTCTGCCACCCGGAATTTTAGGGGTAGGGTCAGGTTAAACGGTAAACCCATATGGACCTGACCCTAAAAGGTCGGGTTAGGGCAGGTGTATTTGGCTTTGTGGTTGGGTAAGGATACCCGAGTCAGGTTCGGGTTGGCTACGGATTTTGGTTGACCTGCCCCGTCGGGTCATGATACCCTTGCATGTGTACATAGTATTTTTGTAACTTTTTCACTTCTAACTCCGTAGCTTTAAAGTTTAGGATTTTTTATATGTTGATTTTGGTTCTCTTTTCTTTTCTAAAACGGTAAAATGGAAAAAGTAACACCTTAGAATCTATGAAACAAATTCCAAATTTCATTAATGGATTTTAAGTTTTCAAAACATGTTAAAAATACAACTGAAATGCCATGAGTCAGGTTGGATCACCATTAGGTTGGACCCTATAGGGTTGGACATTGGGACATCGAAGGGTTAGATTAGGGTTGAGGCAAACCTGTGCTGAACCCAACCCGTTAAAATCCCTACTCCCTCGTCCCACCCTGAACTTTCAGATTCCAACCTTTTTTTTGGGAAAATCTATGGTTTAATCCCCCTAAGAAATTTCTATTGGTTTTTTCACTTTTTGAATGTACCAACAATTAAGCACGTAGGTTGCATGTGATATTTTTTTTTCATATTAATTACTTATATTTTAGATATATCATAGTTAAGATGGAATTTGAAAATTAATAAAAGTAACAATATGATTGAAAATAAACTTAAATGATTGTAGTAAATGTACACATGCATTGCACGTAAAAATTTTAAATTACAATAACAATTACTATTTATATTTGACTATAACATCATTTCATTTATAGGTAGATTTTAAATTTGCCATTTCATTTTCATCATTATTAAGAATACTTCTTACATTTGATACTTATTTTTGTTTACTTTAATGAATATACAATATTAGAGATATGCCCTATTTTTAATTATTTTGTATTAGATATTTTACTTATTTTAATTTTTTATTATAATCCATTTGACTCCAAATGGTTGAATTGCTTACCCACCACTGTGAGGGAAGAAAATGATTTTGATTTCAAATTAATTTTCAAAATATCTATTTTATATTATTAAAATTAATATTGTGAATTTAATTAGTAGAATTTAATGATCAAAAATATATCTTAAATATAAGATTTAATGAGAGAGAATAGGAAAATAGTTTTATTTCCAATTTATTTTAAATTTTACATTCCATTTCCATCATTAATAAAATATTTCTTATTTATCATACTTATTATTGTTTCATATGTCAAATATATGATGTTAAAAAAGTTCCTAATTTTTAAAATTTTTACATTTTGTGCATTTTATCTATTTTTAAATTTTATTATTTAATTGTGACAACATGAATTTTTATTTTGACAATTATTTTTATTTAATATGATGAATATATAACATTAAAAATGCTCCTAAATGTTTTCAAAAAAAATTCTGTACCTTTTCATTTTTTGTGTTATATCCTTTTTAAATATTTATTATTCAATTATGGCATCATGAGTTTCTTTGAAAAGTTGGATCATTGGCCCACCATCTAGATAAGAAAATGCCTTAGCGTTAGAATCAATTAAATTATATATTTCATTAACTTTTACTTATCACACTTAATTTTGGTCGACAATTATTATGTAATTTTTATATATTCTTTTGATTACTTGTACTTTTTTATTTTTTTAAAAAATTATTATTTAATTATCATATAATCGATTAATCCATTTGACTCAAACCACTAACCCACCACTCAAAAAGAAAATTATTTCCATCAATGATAAAATTATTTCTTATGTATAATACTTATTTTTGTTCAATGTAATGAATGCATAATATAAGTTATGTACCCAATATTTTATTTTTTATAAATATATATCATTAGATATGTACCCAAAATTTTCTCTATTTATTTCTTTTTGTGATTTTTTGTATTTTCTATTTTTAAAAATTTTATTATTTGACTATGACATCATTTCATTACTAGGTAGATTTTAAATTTGGCATTCCATTTTCGTCATTAATAAAAATACTTCTTACATTTCATAATTATATTTGCTTAATATAATGTCTGTTAAATATTAGAGATATGCCTAATTATTTATATTTTTTATTATGTATTTTATTAAATTTATTTTTTATTATTTAATTATGTCATTATTTATTAACCCATTTGACCCCAAATGGTTGAATTGCTTACTTACCACCTGGAGGAAGAAAATGATTTTATTTTCAAATGACTTTTCAAAATAATTATTTTATACTAATAAAATTAATGTTGTGGATTTAATTAGTAGAACTTAATGATAAAAAAAATATATCTTAAATATAGTATTTAAATTTTACATTCATTTTCCATCATTAATAAAAGCACTGCTTACATTTCATAATTATTTTTGTTTAGTATAATGAATATAAAATATTAGAGATATGCCCAATTATTTTTATTTTTTGTATTATATATTTTACTAAATTTAAAATTTTATTACTTAATTATGGAATTATTTATTATCCCATTTGACCACAAATGGTTTAATTGCTTACTTACTATCGGGAGGGAGAAAATGGTTTTGTTTTCAAATAAATTTTTAAAATATTTATTTTTATACTATTAAAATTAATGTTGTAGATTTATTTTGATAAAAATATATCTTAAATATACGATTTAAGTTTTACATTCATTTTCCATCATTAATAAAAATAGTTCGTATTTATCATACTTATTATTGTTTTATATGTAGAATATATGATGTAAAAATGTTCTCAATTTTCTTTTATTTCTATTTTTCGTATTTTATCTATTTTTGACTTTTATTATTTAATTGTGGCAACATGGATTAACTCATTTAACCCAAAATGGTTTAATTTCTTACCACTACCTAGATGAAAACACTATTTTTTTCTAGGTATATTTTAAAAATATATGTTTTTTATTTTATTAGAATTATTAATTTATTATGTATGTATTTAATTAATAGAATTTAATGATGAGAAGAAGCAAAAATGTCTTAAATAAATGATTCAATGAAGAGGAATTCAAGTTAATACCTCAAATGTTGGATTTAATGAGAGAGAATTGAATGCTAAATATCTTAAAATTACCTCTTTTCAACTCATTTAATATCAATAACCAATTTTCCAATTTGCCCTCATTTTTTTATCAATAAAATTAATTAAAGAGGATAAATTTTGTTGAGGTAATTCGTTCTTTTTAAAGTAGTAAAAATTGTCTCAATTCCCCCTATCGTGACTCCAAGATTTGGTCAGTTCCCATGTTTTTTATTGATTGATCTGGATATAAAATTGAGCAGAGTAAAATGACCAAACAAGATTCATGTAACCAACCCTGTGTATTGAGTTGAATTGGTTTGTTCATATGATTAATTGGCACATATAATGTTTGGAGAAATGCAATGACTTAGAAACTCAAGTTTTGGACCAAGAGGCCATTTGCCAACAGCTGAAATGGCTGATGAATTGCTGAAGCTGAAGTTTGGTTGGTTATTATTTTTATCATTGAATATTTTATTATTTGAATATTTTGTTCATTAAAAAAATCAAGCAATAAGCCATTTTATTTAACCATATATTTCAATTAAAATCTTAAAAATATGGAACTGTACTTCTTAATTGGCCCATAGAACAAGGGTAAAAACGATAAAGTGAATGTTAGGTAGGAAGAATGTATTCAAACGCAAGGCATGAATTCAATCTTATTAAACACTTGTCCGAACATAAGTCAAAATAGTTTAGGCAAGAAATCAACAATAGGCCAATCTCTAATAACAAACTCTAGAATGAATAAATTAAGACTTGGTCCTGAGTTCCTGACTTTCTTTTCGATATTGTTGTACAAGAAACATGAAAATGTCTAAAATATTCATACAGTTACTTTTGACCAAGATATTTATTTTTCAGATTTTCTCTTCATATCAATCATTATCTTAAATCCTTTGTATCAAATCTCTTTTCTAAAATTATTTTATTTTAATTTCTGAATTTGCCCTTCATATCAATGTCTCAAAAGTAAAACTACAACTTTAAACTCTTTTTTTTTTTTTTCTGTTGTTCATAAAGTTTGCATTGTTTCTTTTTTTTTCATGTGAAAATCAGTTTCAATTGTAACTGCATCGGTATTTTGGACATTTTTTATATCTCTTATTAAAGGATTGGGAGTCAATTTGCAAGTTGCAAATAATGTTCAGAGAATATAATTGCAATTACCAAATTTCAGGGGAGGTTTCAACAACGATCAAAAACTGTAGGTGAGGTTTCAGCAATTTACACTTTAACTAATACTAAACTAGTAAAACAATTAAAAGACATGTCATCTCACCCAAAATGTAAAAATCAATCCCTCACATAAACACTACTTGCTAAACTAGTTCGTTCCATTGAAATATTACTCAGCTCGTTAGTGTATTTTAGAAACAGCAGTTAACAAAACAAAATGTGGCTGGAATGAGCCTCAAATCCATTGGCCGTT